TGGTCCTCGTGGTGGCCATGACGCGATTATGGAGTTTGTGACCTGAGTGATGGGTTCACGTATTTCTTGGGTGGCATGTGTTGCCGTGTGTGTGATCGGTACCTCGTGTACTATGAATCGGTGGTCTTGTTGGTGGAGGACGACGGTCCCAGGAGGGAAAAGGTTGGATTTGGATGTACAGGTGTCCTGGAGGTAATGGTTGGAACTAGACATAAGTTTGGGGTAGCCATAAGGTTGGAACCGGGCATAAGGAAGGCATCTCAATTCGTGATGGGTGATGTCACAAAGGCTTGTGTAGCAGTTGTTGAGTATTTCTCTATTTGTGACATGTCTTGTCACAAAGGCAATGTGTTGTCGATGGTTGTGTCCTTATTCTCTTGTGTTATGCATGTCGGGTGTTAGTCTACTGTGTGATGGTAGATTATGCCTTGAGCCGTTCTTATGAGTTGTTATTGCTTCTTGTGGTCTTGGGATGTGTTCCCTTGTCTTCGTTGTGAGAATGTTGTGTCTTGTGTTTGACTTCCACTCTTGGATCTGAACTTATATACACTATATCCTGTTTCGCAAATGATTTTGTATATATAAACTATCTACATATGATATTTCACATGTATTGGTGGGTTACCAGCATCATTCGCTGACCGGGCGTCGTCCCTTATTTTATGTGTTTCTTTCAGGTGCTGAGTAGACGAGAGCGCGGTCTAGAGGATATTAGATTAGACCCCTTGAACTTTGGTTATGTTTTGGCCTGTGCACCAATGTTAGACTTTAGTCCTTCTGTCCTTGACTTTATTTTGGATAATGGATTTTGTGCAGATGTTTACGCCTGTGCGTTCACTCTTGAGTGAGCGTGGCATAACACTCTACGTTTTCCATATATTGCATATCTAGTTTTCCGCTGTGTATGCTTTTATGGTTAGAATTATCTACATGATTAAGTTTAATTTGGTATGGAAAATCTGGGGTGTTACACCATATGTCTCATGTTTTCCTTTATACATATGTCCTCAAGATTGCCGCATTTAATAAACATGTTCTGCTTTTAGGTGGATCCTCCATGATGGTTTCTCGCGGGGAGCTAATACGCCGTGCTGCCGCCGCTCGAGCCCCTGCATCCAAGAGACAGAGGGTCGCCCCCGAGGGCGCCGGCCGTGCCCCCCGGGCGCCGCCTGCCGACACGTGAGCCGGGACTCGTGGTTCCGTTCCTACTGGCGTCGTGGTCACTTCCACGCCTCCCTCTCCCTTGGCGAGGCGGCCCGCCTTCGAGACACGGTCTTAGGTATGCTTGGGCCTGGCACGATGGAGTCCTTTCGGGCAGATGGGTTACCCCCCATACTTCGTGACAGTCTCGCGGTACTCCCCAACCCTTGATTTATGTGTGTTTACTTGAAGTGTTTGCACGTCCTTTACCCTTCTTCTTTTTTTTTTTTTTCCAGATATTTCTTCGCAGCTCCGTGGCGCTCGTGGAGGTCCGGTTCGCGATGGTGCAGGCGCAAATGGCAAACCAGTAGGACGACTTGAGGAAGGCCCTAGAGGCCAAGCATGAGGAGTGCCGCAAGATGGCATAGGACTTCGAGGCTGCCAAGAAGAAACACTCTGAGGAGATTATCCGGGCCATTCGCAGCTAGAAGAGATCTGAGAGAGCTTTCGTCGAGATGTGGAGGCCTATGCCGACGAGCATTCAGAGGCCCTGGTGACCGCGTGGTTGGCTACGGCGCCGGGCCAGGCGAGGCTAGCAGAGGAGGGCGTGTTCTCCTAAAACTTGGGATGCTACTCCACGCAGCGCGATATCTATGCCATTCTCCGTCAGCGAGATGAGAGCTTTGCCCCTGAGACGTGGGGCCTACCAGCTGAGTTAGCGGACCCGGAGGCCGAGGAGCGGGGCCCGGACCCTCCTCCGGAGGCGCGGGCAGAGATCGACGTCAACCTGGACCCCTCTCACGCGCAGACATCCTCCTTGGCGGCCAGTTCTTCCCGTGCCGGGGTTGCCTCTAAGGCCCCGGAGGGGGAACACTCAGCAGCGGCCCGCCATGAGGGCGCCCCCTAGAGAGTCTTAGATGTAGGCCCTTAGCTTTATATTTTTGCCATGTATTCTGGATTTCTAGACTTTATGTATGAAACCGTTATTTTATGATTTTCCTTACTTCAAATATCTTTTCACTTTTTTTTTAATGTGCCCCCAGGCCGAAGGGTATCCCTTCGGCTTGGACACTTTCCTGTCGGGGGCCAACGAGGCCAGGCCTCGTGCCCCCCTATGACAGCCGTCGGCCCCAAGTCATCGGACTTGGGCCGCTAAGCTCTTCCGTCGAAGTTGGTACGCGAGGTCGGGGCCCCGTGCCTCCTTAGGACAGCCCGTCGGCCCCAAGTCATCGGACTTGGGCCGCTAAGCTCTTCCATCGGAGTTGGTACGCGAGGTCGGGCCTCGTGCCTCCTGAGGGCAGCCGTCGGCCCCAAGTCACCGGGCTTGGGCCGCGAAGCTCTTCCGTCAGAGTTGGTACGCGAGGTCGGGCCTAGTGCCTCCTTAGGGCAGTCGGAGAAGTCGGACGGGTACCGCCAACCCTCCCCGAAGAGTGAAATGAGTATTTGGCGAAGTGTTATTGCGTTTATTGAAGTTGGAATGGGGGCGGATCACCTTACAAAAAAAAGAAAATTATTATTGAAAGTACTTGAGCAGGTGCTCAGAGTTCCACACCCTATCTATCGTCTTGCCTTTCGGCATCTTGAGTTTGTAGCTGCCGGGACGGACCATGGCTGTGACTACGTACGGGTCTTCCCATCTCTTGGAGAACTTGCCCCACTCAAAGGGCTGAATTGCTTCGCGCCTCCTCAGAACGTAGTCGCTGACCTAGAAGTAACGGGGTCGGACTCGCTTGTCGTGGTAGGCTTTGGCCTGGCACTGGTAATTTTTGGTGCGGGTAGCCGCGATCTCTCTCTTCTCGTCAATGAGGTGGAGCTCGGTCTTATGGTTGTCCTTGTTCAGGTCGGGGTCGTACACTTGGGCCCAATATGGAGGTATGGTTACCTCAGCGGGGGCCCGAGCTTCAAAGCCATATGATAATGAGAATGAGGTATTCTCGGTGGCCCTCCTCGGGGTGGTGCGGTAAGTCCACATGACGACGTCCAACTCCTCCACCCACGCGCCCTTGGCTGATTCTAGATTCTTTTGAAGGCCGTCCACGATAGTGCGGTTGACATTTTCGACTTGGCCGTTGGCCTGGGGCTAGGAGACAGCCACGCGGGTGTGCGTTATGTGCCATTGAGCACAAAACTCACTGAATTCCTTGCTCTCGAACTGGTGCCCATTGTCCGTGATGATCTGCATTGGGACCCCAAAGTGACACAAGATGTTCTTGTAGATGAACTGCTTGCACCTGGCGCTTGTGATGCTGGCTAGGGGTTCGGCTTCCACCCACTTAGTGAAGTAGTCCACTGCAACTATCAGGTACTTCCTCTTGCCCGACCCCATCGGGAGGGCTCCGACCAGGTCGACTCCCCACCGGGAGAACAGGATGACCAAACTGATCAGGGTGTAGTTAGTGGCTAGACGACCCGGGCCAACTTGGAATTGCTGGCAGGTTGGGCAACTCCTTGCATAGTCCGCGCACTCCTTGGCCATCCTGGGCCAAAAGTAACCTTGTAGGATGGCCCTCTGAGTCATGGTGTAGGCCTCTTGGTGGGCTGAACAGGTACCCTCGTGAATTTCCTCCATGACCGCCCCTGCTTCATCGGGGTACAGGCAGCGCAGCAAGGTTCCGTTGTAGGACCGCTTGTAGAGTATGTCCCCGATGAGTAGGTAAGTTGGGGCCCTCCTCTGCACGAACTTGGCATCTGCTTCGTCGGGGGGGAGGGCGCCCGTCTCCTTGTACACCTTAAGGTGGTCTAGCCAACAAGCGGGTCGAACTTGCACGGGCAGGACCGGGTAGGCCTCGAGGCTGGACCTCACGAGGTCCTCCACCCGGGCGATCTTGGAGACATGTTCGAGGGCCCCTTGTCCGAGTTTGGAGAGCATGTTCGCGTCTGCGTTCTGTTCTCTTGGCACCTGTAGGACCTCGTGGTGGATCAGCTGTCCCAAGAGTTGTAGCATCACGTCACGGTACCTCCTCATCCTGTCCTCGTTGGCCTCAAATTCCCCCGTAACTTGCCCTACCACGAGCCTAGAATCACATCTTATCTTCAGCTTCTCGGCCCTCATACTCAACGCGAGCCGGAGGCCCCCGAGGAGGGCCTCGTACTCGGCCTCGTTGTTTGACAATTTGAAGTTGAAACGGAGCGCGTAGTAGGCCCTGAAACCCTCGTGGGTCATGAGGACGACCAGCCCCCGCATCCCTTGACACTCGAGGACCCGTCTGTTGATGGGATCCACCATTTTTCCTCCTCGCTTCGGGCCTGCTCGGTGGCCTCCCAGGCGGTGCACTGGACTATGAAATCGGCAAGTGCTTGCCCTTTTATAGCAGGCCTTGGCTTGAACTGGATGTTGCACTGGACCACCTGACCAACCTACTGGCCGACCCCGAGGCCCTTAACACCGACTCTAGAGGCTGATTTGTTAAGACATGAATGGGGTGTGCCTCGTCTAGGTCGCCGACATGGGCGTCGGCATCTGCGCTCTTGACTATCATGTCGTCCACATAGGCCTCCATGTTGCGGCCGAGGACCTGCTTGAAGACCTTGGCCACCATCCGGGTGTAGGTGGCCCCGGAGTTTTTGAGCCCAAAGGCAATGACTTGATAGCTGAAGACCCCTTCGGGGGTTGTGAAGGCCGTCTTCTCCTCTTCGTCCTCATGCATGGAGATCTGGTGGTACCCCTGGAAGGCGTCTAGGAAGCTCATGAGGGCATAGCATGCTGTCTCGTCCACCAGCTGATCGATATTTGGTAATGGAAAGGGGTCCATGGGGCAGGCTTTGTTGAGGTCGGTGTAGTCCACGCACATCCTCCAGGTGGGGAGTTTGGGGGCGAGGACTACGTTGGCTAGCCATCTGGGGTACAGGACCTCCTGAACATGCCCTATCTCGATGAGGGTATTGACCTCCTTTCTCACGAACTCCCTCCTCTCTGCGGAGAGGTACCTCTTGTGCTGTTGCACCGGCTTGACTGTGGGGTTGACGGCGAGCCTATGGGTGATGACGTCCCTACTGAGGAGCTCTTTGTAAGTCCTGATAACGTCAATGATGTGGGCCCGGAGCTCGGGGGGAGCCTGGTTCCCACCTTCACCACGTGATCGGGGCGGCTGAGGTCGAGGACGACCTCCTCAGTCTCCACGACGGGCTCGGCTTGCGGGCGGCCCTCCTCCTCCTTCAGCGCCTTCTCTGCTATGGTGTGCACCTGGAGGTCCCGCTTGCCTATCTGTCGGCATGCCCGAAGGTAGCAACTTCGGCTGATCCTTTGGTCCCCCTGGGCGACCCCGACCCCGACCCCGGTTGGCGTGGGGAACTTGAGGCATAGGTGTTCCATGGAAATCACACACCTAAGGTCCTCCCAGGCGGGTCGGCCTAGGATCACATTGTGGGCGCAGCTGATTTTAACCACCACGAACTCTACTTCCCACCTCTTGGTGTGAGGCGGGGCGCCTATCTCAAGCGTGAGGTTGATTGACCCTTCTGTCTCTATGGAGTCCCCCGTGAACCCGGATAAGGGGGTCCTCACTAGCCCAGTCTCTTCCTCGATAGCCCCAACTAGGTGAATGTGTCGTGGTACATCACATTCACCGATCTACCTGTGTCCACCAATACTCTGTGCACGACCACCTCATTGATCTCCATCTTGACCACCAAGGCATCCTGGTGAGGGAGGGGGCCGTCTGGGAGGTCGTCATCGGTGAAGGTGAAGGGCTCCCTCCGGGCCTCTTCTCATGTGGGGGTCGCACGACCTCGCCCACATAGAGGCTTCGTGCCCATTTTTTCCTTTCTATGGGCGTGTACCCCCCCCCCCCTCTGGTCCCCCGAAGATCACATGGATAACTTGTTTCTTCTGGGGGGTGGGGGTTGTCTAGCTCTCTTTCTTCCTCATCAGTGAGCTGGCCGAGCTCCCTCTTGCGTGGCGCGGAGGTGGAGGGCTCAGAGCTGCCTCCCTTCCTCCATATGCGGCCTTGATGCTGACCTTGGCCTTGTCCAGGCCATTGCACGAACTGACCCAAGTAGCCTCTCTAGATGAGCTCCTGGCGTTTGAGGAGGATGCACTCGTCCGTATCATGCCCTGACTGCCGGTAGAATTTGCAGTACTTGTTGTGGTCTACCTTCGGGGATATCTTCATGCATTCCCCCGGGTACTCCACGATCCCCTGGCCTTCCGCATGCTCCAGGATTGTGCTGACGGGCTGCGTCAGCGGGGTGAGAAAACGTGTGGGGGTCAACCTGGGCACCTCGGCGTACTAACGGCGGGGAGGCCTGGGCGCCCGGCGGTCCTCTTGAGGGGCCTCGCGCCGGGGCGGCCGCGGTGCATGGCGCTCCTCTCGGGGTTCCTTGCCTTTACGATCCTTCCCATCCTCCTCTCCTTCTTCCTCTTCTCTGCTACCTCCGCATCCACAAACCTAGATGCGCGGTCCATCAACTCGGTGTAGGTCTTGGGGGGGGGGGGGGGGGGGGGGGCATCGGATGAGGTCCTGGTGGAAGGAGCCGGATCTAAGGTTGCTTCTGAAGATGGGTATGGCCGCCTTGTCGTCGAAATTGGAGATCCCTATCGACTACTTCTTCCACTTGCTGAGGAAGTCGGCCACGGACTCCGAACCCCTCTATTTCAAAAAACATAGGTCGGCGAACTGCTTCTTTTTCCGCATATGGCCAGCGAAGTAAGACATGAAGCGTCTAGTGAGGGTGGCGAAGGTCGAGATGGACCCTTCTGGCAGGGACCAACACCAGTCTTGTGTGTGGCCGTCTAGGGTCGAGAGGAAGCCTCGGCACATGATAGCGTCGCTGGTCCCAGTCATTAGCATGGCAGCCCGGTACCTGTTCAGGTGCTCACGTGAGTCGGTCGTCCCTGACTATGCCTAGATGGCGAGAGTGGCGAAGGTCAAGATGGACCCTTCTGGCAGGGACCCACACAAGTCCTGTGTGTGGCCGTCTAGGGTCGAGAGGAAGCCTCGGCACATGATAGCGTTGCTGGTCCCGGTCATTAGCATGGCAGCTCGGTACCTGTTCAGGTGCTCACGGGAGTCAGTCGTCCCTGACTATGCCTGGATGGCGGGGAAACGAAAGTTCGCGGGGAGGGGTTCCTCCATGATGGCCCTCGTGAACGGGGCGATCAGGACATCCAGAGGCTCTGGGGACCCATCCCTGTCATTGATTTGCTTATGAAGCTCGTCTATCCACCTACGGAGTTGCTTGACCTCTTCACGATGGGAGCTCGGAGCTCGACCATTCGACTACCCCGACCGCTCGACCCAGGAGTTTTGCTCTCGCCGCGCTGGGACATGGGGCCCCCCGGCTTGGAGATCGTCCCGCATGTGATTCCTGCCGTGGTGAGGCTCGGGGCCTCCTGCTTGGCGACCTCCGCGAGCATGACCCTGCTGCGGGCAGACACGCGGGTGCCAACCTCTCCAGGGGGGGGGGGGGGGGCATCGGATGAGGTCTTGGTGGAAGGAGCCGGATCTAAGTTTGCTTCTGAAGATGGGTATGGCCTCCTTGTCGTCGAAATTGGAGATCCCTATCGACTACTTCTTCCACTTGCTGAGGAAGTCGGCCACGGACTCCGAACCCTTCTATTTCAAAAAACATAGGTCGGCGAACTGCTTCTTTTTCCACATATGGCCAGCGAAGTAAGACATGAAGCGTCTAGTGAGGGTGGCGAAGGTCGAGATGGACCCTTCTGGCAGGGACCAACACCAGTCTTGTGTGTGGCCGTCTAGGGTCGAGAGGAAGCCTCAGCACATGATAGCGTCGCTGGTCCCGGTCATTAGCATGGCAGCCCGGTACCTGTTCAGGTGCTCACGTGAGTCGGTCGTCCCTGACTATGCCTAGATGGTGAGAGTGGCGAAGGTCAAGATGGACCCTTCTGGCAGGGACCCACACAAGTCCTGTGTGTGGCCGTCTAGGGTCGAGAGGAAGCCTCGGCACATGATAGCGTCGCTGGTCCCGGTCATTAGCATGGCAGCTCGGTACCTGTTCAGGTGCTCACGGGAGTCAGTCGTCCCTGACTATGCCTGGATGGCGGGGAAACGAAAGTTCGCGGGGAGGGGTTCCTCCATGATGGCCCTCGTGAACGGGGCGGTCAGGACATCCAGAGGCTCTGGGGACCCATCCCTGTCATTGATTTGCTTATGAAGCTCGTCTATCCACCTACGGAGTTGCTTGACCTCTTCACGATGGGAGCTCGGAGCTCGACCATTCGACTCCCCCGACCGCTCGACCCAGGAGTTTTGCTCTCGCCGCGCTGGGACATGGGGCCCCCCGGCTTGGAGATCGTCCCGCATGTGATTCCTGCCGTGGTGAGGCTCGGGGCCTCCTGCTTGGCGACCTCCGCAGCATGACCCTGCTGCGGGCAGACACGCGGGTGCCAACCTCTCCAGGGCGGGCTTAGCTGGGGCCGACCTCCCTCAACCTCTCTCACCATCTCAATGTTGATCCAAGCAGATGCTACCTCCCTCCCGCCTGTCTGAGGGGCGGGGCGAGTTGACCTCCCCCTCCGTCTGGGTGGCGTGGGCGCGGGGTGGCCGGCTCGGGCCGCTACACCCCCTCGAGGGGGCCGGAGGCGGGGTCGGGGCCCTTTGGGAAGCCTCTGGGCCGACCGGAATACTTCCCTAGAGCTCCCGCGTGAGGCGGTCTAATGTCACCGAGGCCTGTTGGAGGGCGACCGCCCCTTCCCGGAAGAGGGCAGGATCTGGAGGGGGACGGGCAGCCACTGTGTCGTTGCAGTGGTTTTTGAGGTGGTCTTTGAGGTCACCCGCCGACCTCAAAGATGGGACTTGTGGCTGACTAGTGGTCTCGTTGAGGCCACCCCCAATCGGGGAGGCACGGGTATTACGGGAGCCGCGGGAGTTGGATCTCGACCTTGCCATAGTTCGTGGAATATGGAGCACGCTCGAGCTTGTACGTCAACTCTCAACAAGAGCACCAATGATGGATTTAATTAACCCGGGGTAGACCCGAATTACTAAACCCGATAAATATGGGATAGGAAAAGGTGTTGAATGTGTGTCGCGGGGACAACGTTGTATTGATAATGTTTGTAGAAGGGTTACAAGGTGAAATGTAATAGTAAGACCAAGAAGTAGATGTCCTAAGCAAGACAATAATCACCCTTTTAAAACTAGCTAACCTCCCAACCAGCCCCCCTATTCTCGCGGGGTGGTTGGATCGCGCCTTGACTGGGTCCACGCGGGCACCCGGGGCCGTCTCGTGCTCCTGGGCCGACGTAGGCCCTGACCGAGGCCACCCCTGACCAGGCCACGGTTGGCCCGTAGGCCAAGGCCTTGGTGAGCCCCAGCTGGGGTAGCCCTTGGCCCTTCACACCGGCCCTCTCGGGTCGGTTTGCCCCGAGCCCATGCCTAATGTACCCATCACATGGCAATATGTATAAAATTTGTATGTAATAGACTTTTTATTGCCAATTGCTATTGATGTGGCAAATTTCACCAGGTATATGTATTCGTATACTATTGGATAGTGTATTTGGAAATGATGGCTTGGGTTATAGCAATCGAGGGCCGGAGGTTCCTGGGCTCAGAAATGATAGAGAGATGAGACCAAAAGTCCCCCTTTTAAAGCATCTAACGGGGTATTTATAGAAGATTTGAGGGGACACATGCCGAGAGGCCGGCATGTACACCACGTATCCTTCATGCACTCGGTGTCTCGGAGGCCTATGGAGAAGCGGACACGTGTTACGTTAGACTATATTTAATTAATTAGCCAATAGCCATCAAGCTCGGCCATCAATGTGCCCTTTTAAAGGCTTACACCATGGGCTCGGGGCTGAGTAGAAAAGGTCTAGAGCAGAAGCCCGTTAAGCCAATACGATGTTTAACGCCTAGGTCGGGTTGGTCACATGCTCTTCTCGGGTCGGACCATATCAGAGATGGACGATCACTAGCCTATAGAATTGGGTCCAAGATTCCTGCAACATCGGCCAACGGCAGAATGTGAGGATCACTGCTCTAGTCCATCCGTTCGCCACAAGCCGCGTTGTGAGCGAACGCCTAGGGATTTGTTTTTGAATTTCGAAATTTCCCACCTCGTTCGCCTATAAATAGAGCGGTGAAGTGGGCCAAAACCACGCTTTTCTTTTGAAATTTCCGAGAGCCTCCAGAGCCAAAATACAAAGATCTTTGCGAATTTTAACGAGACCGACGCTCCCGATCAGCTCACTCGGTAAGGATCCACTCTCTAGTACTTTAATTAACTTGCCTTCTTAGATCAATTAACCTTCCCGATCTTAGGATTTATTTTCTCGGCTAAGACTAAAATTCTTCGCCCTCGTCTTCGTTCTAAAGGAAGGGGTACTATATGTCCGACTCAGACATCTAGAATCTTTCGGTTTGGGACTACGACGCAATGGTCGAGACTGATTTTAAATAATTAAAGATAAATCTATTCAATTCCCCCCCCCCCCCCCCTCCTCCCGCAAAAGACTTTCTCAATGCATTGGGACCAACAAAAGGGCTGACACAAAACTTATACTTGAATAAAAAGTACACCCAGGAGCACAACCAATGTCCTCCTAAGAGCATCCTTATCAGTTGGGGATATTAGGGGGAGAATAATGTAAGAGTGAGTAAGAAAGAGAATAATGTGGGGGGAGAGCGAAGGGGGAGGGGGGGAATCAAAACTAATATATATATATATATATATATATATATATATATATATATATATATATATATATATATATATATATATATATATAATAAGCATGTCAGAGTAATTCCTTTTCTCTATTGGTTCTCTCTCTTCCATCATTAATTCCTTTTTCTTGGGCAGAGTAATATCCCAACCTTTGCAGATGCTCCCCACCCCTTCTCTCTCTGCCACCATGACGTTTTGGCCTCAAAAGTAGTGAATTCTCCCTCATTTCTCCTCTGATGTAGATGCTCTAAATAGATATGACTAGAACCCAATTGCACTTTTTGTTTGTTTATGGGGTTTGGATAAAAAAAATTCAATTATAAAACTTAATTGTACTTTGACTCTTTTTTCAATTCATTAATAGTTTTTAAGTGTTATAAAGTTTAACACTTTCATTAAAAATTTGAAACATTTTACAATGGAATATGTAATTCATAAAGGACGTATTTTTATTTTAATAATTATATTACTATACCTCCCGTCCTCCCCCACCCAATTACCCATCTTTTTTATTACGGAGTACAATTTTTTTACTCATTTTTCTTGTTACAAGTTTTTCAAAATGCTAGGCGGGGACATGAAGGATCAAATGAATCAAACATCAAAACATGACACTGTTCACTAAAAGTTGTATTTTTGTTACTAGTTATTGTTGATCACAGACAAGCTAAAAGTCTATAATTGTGGTGGTGGGGGCGGGGCGAGGGGGAGGGGTAGGGGTGGTGAAATAGACTTGTAAACACTTTTGTTTTTTTTTTTTTTTTTTTTGTTTTTAATTAAAATAATAGCTCTAACCGATGCCTTTCCTTTCAAATGCTTCGTTGCGAATTCATTACTTCTAAGTCCTTTCCTTCCGAAATCATTCCTTCCGGTTTCTTTCCATATGAAATCTTTTCTTTCGGAAGTGTTTCTTTCGAAAGTGTTTCTTTCTAGTAAGATGCATGTTGATATCTGTTTTGGCTTCCAATGGAATATAATCAACTTACAGTTAAAAAAATGTGGGGTCTATAGTGCATATATAACATTAATTTTATCATAAAAATCTATTAACAATTATTCCTAACCGTTATAACTTTTGGCGTAGTGGTAATTAAACACTTGATCCTAATTAAACTCGTGAGACTAAAAATAAAATTAATTTTATAAAGTATTTTAAACTACTGTTGATCTATATTGCTAACATTAGGGTGGAGGAAAATGAGAATACTAGCCAAAGGTACATTTACTATTAGAGGTTTGATGAGAGTACAAATTTAAGGCTTCATTTATGGTATGGTAACATTGTGAAGGTGAGCTTATATAATTGCATTATGGAATTTCATTAATTCCTTTCTCTAATAATTATCATGGTCATATGTATGTGCTCTTATCCTAGTTTTTTAACCAATGTAATTTACATGGCCATGATTATCACTGCGTTTATCGTTTTGAGCTTTAAAAAAAAAAAAAAAAAAGAATTTACGAAGGAAACAAAATTGCTTTATAATTTTAATTATGGACATTTTTTCATCTAAACTTTTTATCTGAACATTTTGCTTGATTGTTAGACTAGTGGTCGATGGTGGTGATGATAGATTTCAATGTTAAAGACAAACATATTGTACGTAGTGCATATATTTTAAAAGCTTTTAATTTTATGGCAGATAAGTTATAGGTAATTCTATATTTATTAGAATAAAGCTATACGACCAAAATTTGTCACCAAAATATTTCATAAGTTGACATGACAATAAAAAATATTTTATTCATTAATTACCATAAATTAACTGATCCCACCTCAATTTTTTTTTTTTTTATAATATACTTATAATATCAGATGGTAAAGAATTTCGGCCCTTATAACTTAATACTATTTAGTATCATTTAGTTATATTTACAATGCGGTATAGTAGCCCGTATATGGTATATTATAAAGAAAAACATATTGTAACCTATATTTGAATTATTGAATCTTTTCTTATAAAATACTCCGCGAGAGATATAACTATAGAATAATGCTATTTTTTCTCCAGATCGATTTTACCTTGACAATAAAATTCTTTTAATTTATTTAATTTGCTACTATAAATAGACTGATCTCATGACTATATACCCGATTAAACCTAATTATTACACATTCCAATATTTTGCAATAAAAAACAAAAAAAGTTTTCTAAGCTCCATTCTGTCATTATAAGACTACAAAAAGTATGCAAGACCAAATATATTATTGATCGAAATTCCTTTCAACAAACCAATGTCCCTATTCACACACACTATATCTCTATATATACGTGTCACCAATTACAACTGTGAGGGAGCAGTCTAATCCCTAGCCAGCCTTCAATTCTCCTCCATCCTCTCTTCGATCTTCTTTCTCAAAAACAAGCTTGCTATATATCTTGTTATTGCAGATCAGAAGAGAAACCAAATTGAATTGAAACTCCATCGATCTGTGTATGTATGTATGTATGTAGATGTGATTAGTAGTAGTACTAATTAGCTGCAGCATGCTTTGATGATTGAATACACCCAGGAATTGGAGGCTGCGAAGGAGGAGAGGTGCAGTACGGCGGCGGCGGAATTAAGGTTTGGAACGGTGGATCGTCGGAGAGGTGAGAAGCGGCCTCTTTCATTATTGTCCGATGATGAATCGGAGAAGAAAGAGAAAGACGACGACCCCACAACCAAGGCTTTGTTCTACTCCTCACCTCAATCTCAGCACGACATGTCCGCCATGGTTTCCGCTCTTTCCCAAGTCATAGGTTGCAATAACACCACCACCACCACCACATATGCAGCGCCCGCTTCAATCCCCTCCTTACACCACCAATCTCCTCACCCCAATCTTCATCATCAACAACAACCAGCTGGTACGCATATTAATTTAACATTAACACCTTTATAGTAAGTGTGGTGCAATTCTTCACAAATTCACAGTTTCCAAGTTAAGATTAATTCTCACTTAATTATGGATCATAGATTTCTAATAAGGTGAGAACCAACACTTGCAAACCAAAAACTTGTGAAATTAAGATACCTTGCGGGTGCAATCATATATATATATATATATATATATATATATATATATATATATATATATATATATATATATAAATATAATTCAGGATATTGCTTAAATCTTAATTTCCATGTGATCGGTTTGGTGACATGTGTGGTTGTTAATTATAATTAATGGAGCTAAGAACTAATCTAATCCAATTTGATGTGTGTATACAATTAAATAAGGTGGCGTGAACCAAAGGAAAAGACATTATAGGGGAGTTAGGCAGCGGCCGTGGGGGAAATTCGCGGCGGAAATCCGGGACCCGAAAAAGGCGGCTAGGGTTTGGCTGGGAACCTTCGAAACAGCAGAAGCTGCAGCTTTAGCGTACGATGAAGCAGCCCTAAGGTTCAAAGGGAACAAGGCAAAGCTGAATTTCCCAGAAAGGGTTCAAGGCAGAACCCAGTTTGGATATCTAACCACCCGACAAGACTTGCCTATTGTTTCATCATCATCATCCAATCATCATCTTTACTGCTTACGCCCTCCCAATTTCTCTTCTTCTTCTTCTCAGACCACTACTTATCCCAACGTCGACCATTACGCGCAGCTCCTGGGCCGCGGCGCCGGGGGCGAGTTATTACCCAATTTTGAGGTTTCTACTACTCACATGTTTCAACCTCCCCCTCCGCTACCATCATCATCACCATCTATGGGAACAACATCGAATCACAACATTATTGGTTATAATTACTTGTTTCCATTCAACTTCGGGACGACTTGTTCTTCTTCCAGTACTTCTGCGCCTAATAATAATGACAATAATGGAAAGGATGAATGGGACGAAGATCTTGATTTCAAGAATACGAGGAAGTGATGATCCAAGTCGTCCCGGGATGCTTTGCTTCAATTCATTCTTCCTTTTTACTCATCCCTGTTTAAATTGTAAGTTCTTCAGTTTCAACCTTAAACTATATACATATATGCATGTGTTACATTGAAGTGCAATGATTTTAAAGGGTTTTTGTATTACTTTTTGTTTCATTACTTTAAAGTTCCCCAATCAAGTATGTATGTGTGAATAAATTAAAAGAATAAAATTCTTTTGTAAGGGCATTGTTTGGTAAACAACAACTTTTTTAATTAGCTTTTACTGGTATGTCGAATTCCTAATTTTCCCAATATGCATAATATCTAATGTTACATCTAGTTCTCTGACCTAAGAGTTACTAGAGGATTCTTTTTCTCTTTTTTTTTTTTTTTTTTTTTTAATGATGTAGAAAACTCACCACCACTATCTGAGAATGTGCATGTACTGAATTAATTTCACTCGTGTAATACCTCCAAACCACACGGAAGATGTAAAAAATTATACTAAGAAGATCTTATCTGACAAGCTCAACTGAGAGGGTGTTGGCAAGAATGTAACCCTTGACCTTTAGGTACCGGAAAATTCTCCTATGAGATCGCCTCACAAATCATCATTAGTAGACGAGTCAGGTTTTTGATAAGTACTAGATTTCACCATATAATAAGTATTACAATTTTTATCATAAGTAACTCTTCACCTCTTAATATTATATTTTGCATCAAAAGTATCACCTTTCTCTCATAAGTAACAATTATACAATTTATCCATGATTAGTATTGTACTTTAATTTTCTCAAAAGTAACTATTCAACTCTAAATATTACATTTTGATTTAAAAGTATTACATTTTTTTTATAAGTAACAAACAGTTTATTCCTTATTAGTAATCCGTATTAGATTTTCAAGCATAAGTATTACATTTTCATCATAACTCGACCCGTCTCAGAGATAAGGATCCATGAGACGGTTAGGGAAGTCACTCTTAAGTATAAGAGTCATGTTCCACCCACTTGACCATCCATTTCATGACTAGGGCATCATTTTTACTTTTAGGATATTATGAGTGTTTGGAAAATGGCTTATTAGCCAAAGTATAGCTTGTTTGACCAACTTTAACTTACTTGACTAGTCAAATAGTCAATATTAGTGTTTTGTAAATAGTTTTTTGACTTAGCGTATTAATTCCAAATAAGCTGAAAATGAAAACGCTACTTTGAGTAGCTTAGTGATATCAACTTATTACTTTTTGTTTTAAAAATCTAATTTACCCTTAATAGTTGTTAGTTATTGTAGTGTTTATATTTATTCAATTTTTATTTAAATTTACATTTTTATTATCATCAAAAACTTCTAGAACCTGCCACGTGAATTAACTTTTTGCATAACATGCATGCATGCATACGCGCACGTGCACACAATATATATATATATATATATATATATATATATATATATATATATATATATATATATATATATATATATATAATTGTGTAACCTTTATATTAAATTATTATTAACTTACGTTTATTATATTTTTATTTAAAATTTTATTTTTAATATTGAATTATTATGAACTAGAAAGTAAATCTTTATAATTATAAAATTAATAATAAAACAAAAAATAATAGTTAAAATAATTAATAATAACAAAATGATAATAATAAATTATAAAAAATACTTTAAGAGTTAAATAAATAGCACAATAGACTTATGCCCTTATACTTCATTTTATATGTAATAAGTTAAGAGTAAACAACTAATTTCTCAAATACTTTTCTATAACTCGCTAATACTATCAGCTAGTTAAACCAACTAACACAATCAGTTGGTTGTTATTAGCCTTAAGCTAAATCAATAAGATATTAGCTATCAGCTATCAGCTAATGCCCAATTGCTAAACACCTTAATATCCTAATTTACCAAATCTCAAAAAAAAAAAAAAAAAAAAAAATCACACATATATATAGCTTTCCTTAATTTGGGAGTAAAGGAGGGTTATGAATTATGATGATAGATGATTAATTGTGGATACATGCATGCATACATACATTATATTCATAAACACACATACATATAAGGGTGCCCATAGTTTGGGTTGGATCTAATTTAGACCGCTTAAAATATGGGCAGGGTCGGTCTAGAATAATATAGTTGGTCCTGATGATTTAATTTCAAAATAAGTTTGTACTAACTTAGTGGCCTGGGCGCAAACAGAATACAATTTACTAGCCAGTTTGGTCAAGCAAAGTTTTAAATATCTATCTTTCCAATTAGGAATATCCAAACTTTTGAAAGTTGATTAACATGCTTGGAAAGTGACGAAATGAAATTGGAAAGCTAGTAAAGATAGATGCTAAAGATGTCATAAAGAAATAAATGTTTCTTAAATTGGTTGGTGGATTTAGAAAGTGCATTTTCACATTATATAACTTCATTTAATTTACACAACTGTATTTGCTACTCAATTTGTATCTTCTTTTGCATAACAATGAACTCCACAAGATACTAGCAAGCTAGCTTCATCCTAAAACTTCCCCATCCTATAGAAGATTAGATCAAACATGTTCATATGTGTTTGAACTCCATCTTTTTCTTCCGTTCCCTTTTCATTTAACTTAAGAGTTTTATAAATCCCTTTTTCATCTAGTCATAGTATCACATTGTTCCGTGCTTTGAAAGAAATTAATCTAAGTCATATATAGACTTTTTAAAAGTATTGATTATTATTGTGCTGTAGGTGGCTAGATGCTTACTTAGCATACAGTCATACATCTTACAGAGTTGAATATAGAATTAATTGATCCCTAATAGGGGCAGTTTAGGCATTGACAGTGGGAATGTGAAATTCATTATTTATTAATTAGGTATTTAGTTGTGACAAATAAATATAATATAATAGGATGGACTCATTTGAATATTTGATCACTAGTGTGTGTGTATATATATATATATATCTTGGGAAGGGTTCAGGTGCGGCGAAAGGTTCTCGCGTGGTTGTGCGGTTGACGCACCTTAAGCACACAAACAAAATAACTTAAGAACACATGCAAACCACGCACCTTAATCACACAACAAAGCACTTTAGGAACACAAACCACACACCTAAGGTTTAAAATGGCTCACCTTAAGTTTCACACAACGATGCACCTTAAGCATACGAATCACGCACTTTAAAAAGGAAAACAACGCACCTTAAAAAGGGAACCCACGCACCTTAAGTTTCAACAACTACTCACATTAAGCACAAAACTCACGCACCTTAAGCATAAAATTCGTGCACATTAAGCACAAAACTTACGCACCTTAAGCACAAAACCCACGCACCTTAAGTTTCATCAACTACTCACATTAAGTACACAACTCACGCACCTTAAGCACAAAACTCACTCACCTTAAGCACAAAATTCACGCACTTTAAGCATAAAACCCACGAACCTTAAGCACAAAAACCATACACCTTAAATTTGACCTAGATGCAAAAATTACCAAATTACCACCGCATTTTTTTAAAAAAAAATTGATCATCCTAGACGTTGATTTAAGTAAAATCAATGGCTATCTTCTTGCCGCACAACCGCGCACCAGCTGGGCGGACCAACCCCTAATTGTATGTATATATATATATATATATATATATATATATATATATATATATATATATATATATATATATATATATAAAATAACTTTTGTGACTCAGCACTAATCACAGTAGCCCTAGACTTGTAATATACTCCTTAATGTAGGGAAATAATTTGGGCTGAGTTCATTATACCATGTAGACCCAATACTTAGGAGAGGAGGCTCTTAATAACCTAGGAGAGCACTAGGATGTGTGTCACCATCTACCACCTTCTTTAATCATGTTTAACTATTAACAACGTGTCATTTAAATATTAAAAAAAATTAATTTCTCTTAAGTAAGATCTTATGTTCAAATCTTATATATGAAGTAACAACATTGAACACACTTCGATGTGGTCAAAATTTGTATTTGAATCTAATTCGTACTTAAGATAGGAAGAAAAAAAAAAAGTTGAAAAGGTTGGCTGGGTGAATGGACCTTGAACTATTGCACATAAGTAAGATTTACTTATTGTATACATTCAAGTAAAAATTGGAAATTTCTATTGTTAACCAATAAAAATAAATGGGACTATCATTTGAGGCCTAATTAACTTTAATTTCGCACTAATTAAAATTAACCTATGGGCTAAGGATGACTTGTAACTTTGCACTTTGTATTTGTGAAAAGAAAGAGAAGGAAGAAAAAGCAAATAAAATGATATGTAATATGGAGATATGGGTTAAAGAAATATGTACTACTTCAATTCCCTTTGCAGCTGGCTACGTTGTTGTTTCCTCAGCTCATAATCAGTTCTAGCTTAGCTGCAGCTTTTGAATTGACTTTCCAAGGTTGGAAACTAAACCTGGGCTTATTTCTTCAACTTTGATCTGGTGTAAACATCAGATTGATCGAGCTATGGCATAGTAGCACTGGTCCTTTCTTGGCATCGAGTAGTCCCCCGACCCGACCAATTAATAAAAAATCGCCTTATACAACTATTTTGATAGGTGTGCAGTAACTTTATGTGGGGTCGATATAAAATCGTATCATTTGAGTATATAGATATGAAAGTAAATAAGGAAGAGATAAAAATATATATTAGGATGAAGCTAAGATAGATGTTAGAGTTTCAGGTAATGTGTGTGGGTGTGGGTGTATAAATATATAGAAAACAAAAGAAGAAGTAAAAGAAGAATAATGTGAAAGCTAGGGGTCATGGAAATCGGCTGAATCATCTAATCTAAATGGTTGACGCCTTGACGGCTTGTCGACGACAAAAGGCGACGATGAGAGATTGAGAGCCGACTCCATCTTTTGTTTGTGCATCCATCACCACACCGCCCATTTACTCACCCAAATTGCAATGCATATTTACCACACTTCAATTTTCTTCTTTTTAAATTCATTATCTCTTAACCAGCTTGATTGGTGTGAGTAATGGTATACTCTTGTCCTTTAAAAGATGTCGAGAGTTAGAATCTCCTTTCATATAGAAAAACAAATTTGGCCAACAATTTTTTTCTTTAATTGGGTTGGCCCGATACGAACGGGGATTACTCTAATTAATTATGGTACGGGTTTAAAGGTGTCTCCTATGGTTATGGTCTGACATAAAAAAAAATTATTATCTCTTAATTTTCTTCAGATTATTTGAATTAAACCTCAA